AATTGAAGGAAAAGTAATAGCTTTGAAATGTATTCATGAACATACAAAGAGAACGGACATACAGTATATACTTTGTGAGCATAGCATGAATCCTTGTAGTGACATTAAAAAGACAGAACCTATAGTAGTGTCCTAAAATGTTCAAATACTGTCAGTTTAGTACTGGGAAATTCAATCATGAGATACCATTATCTCAAAAAAAAGAGATTTACAAGCAGGGGCGGACTGACAACTCATGGGGCCCTGGGGCAATAGGGGATCATGGGGCCACTGTGTCCTTGCTCGAACAAAAAAGCCCATGAAAAAGGTACCAGGGGCATCTCATGGGGCCCCCTACTGACCCCGGGCAGTGCCTAAGTTTCCAAATGGTCAGTCCACCACTGTTTACAAGTAACAATCAGAGCAGACTAATTCACAATGGCTAAGTGATTAGCACTTCCGCCTAGCAGCACTAGGGTTGTTGGTTTGAATCCCAACCACGGCACTACCTGCCTGGAGTCTGCATGTTCTCCCTGTGCTTGCATGAGTACTCCAGTTTCCTCCCACACTCCAAAGACATGCTGGCAGGTTAATTGGCTCCTATAAAAACAAGCCCATGACTGTGAAACCTTAGATTGTACACTCCTTGAGAGTTAGGGACTGAAATGAATGTACTATATATATGTAAAGCTCTGCGTCAATTGATGGAGCTATATGAGTAGCTCTAATCATTTATGATGCACTATACAGGTTGTGTCAAAACTGTAAAGTGTACAAGACTTAAGTTTCATTCATGTTCTTGGCTCCCTCTGCTGGTGAATATGATACAAAACTCAATATTCAGGAAAATTTACAGACCTGTGCATTGTTGCAAAAATCAGAGGAAGTCAACAAGTGAAAATGAGAATCTGGGCTTTCTCATTAGAAAGCCTAACATCCCATCTCTTTTCTAGAGCCCTGAAAGTCAGAGCTTCAACATCCTACATCCAACTTTGGTTGCTAAAGTCAACTGCTCGGCTCATGATTGCAGCACAAGATTCCCATTAACCACTTGCCTACCGGGCACTTATACCCTTCTCCCTGCCCAGGCCAATTTTCAGCTTTCAGCGTTGTTGCACTTTGAATGACAATTACGCGGTCATGCAACTCTGTACCAATATGACATTTTTATCATTTTTTTCCCCACACAAATAGAGCCCTCTTATACCTGAGCTTTGCCAGTGCCTCCCCTCGTCCTCAGAACTTCAGCTGCTCCTGACTTCTCCATAAGAGCCTGCAGTGGTCCACGTGGCTGTGTCTCCTGTTCCCGTCATCCCGGAACACTGGCTGGGTCCTGCCCCCTCCCCCTGCCGAAACTGACGCAGGACACCCAACGGGAAGCTCTGCCCCTGCCCAGAAGTGACCTCACAGACACGCCCAGATGCCACTGGACACCAAAAACATGGCCACTACCATTGCCCACACAGGGATATCGGGGCTACAAGCTATCCAGCGGTACTGGCTCCCCCTAAGCACTGAAAGGGGAGAGAGGAGCAAGGAACAACCCTACCCCCCCTCCACCTGGGACTCCGCCTGGAGGACCCTTGCTGCAAGAAAACAAGTAAAAAAGAAAAAAAAACAGAGACCTTTCTCAGGCACCTGAGACAATGCAGTCCCCACAGTTCCTGTGTGTTCCTATCTGGCCGAAGGAAACACAACAACTGAGGACTGTGGAGAGAGGCCTCCAATTTGATGTCTATGTGGGTGTGTATTTCTCTCATGCGCTGTCCTGGAAGACGTTTTAAGAAAAACAGGCATTGAGAAGCTTACAAATACATCACAAAGGAAAATATGCACATGGGGTGATTAAGGTGTGCCCAGGCACATTCGGCACACTCCTACGGCATAAACGCCTGTAACTGAAAAGGAGACAATAAATTGCTTCACCTCTGTGGAGTTCTTCACTAATATAGATAAATGGCTACCGGTGCACAGGTAATAACTAAGAAACTCTAAACAGCTAATGAAAACTATAAAACTCACCATATCAATATAAATATATATGGAGATCTTAAGAGGATATAAAAAGATGTATTCTGATATATAGTGCTGTAGCCAATAACAAGCTAATAGAATGTGCGGTGTTGTCGAAGCAAGTATAAATTCTAAAGTGAATCACAATAAAACAAAAGGAATAGCCAGATAGTGGCAGTAAGTTGCCAAGCTGGGTAGCGTGGGAGCATATACATCAGACTGTAATTAGTTGCCCTATAGTCCAGGATTGGCATATCATACTTTGAAGTTCATCACTCCTTAAACATAAAACAGATGATTACAAAAGAACCATCCACTGTCCTTCATGTATAAATCCGCTTTGAAAATATTGCTTTGATTATTCAGGAGCACATTAGCTTTCAATTCCTCTGGGTCTGGCTGTCCACCTTTCTCTTGTCCAGATACTTGCATGGCGTGGATAGCTGCCTGTACGCTGAGCTGCCAAGGTCAGTAAAGCATGGTGGGCATTGACAGTAACTGCATCTGGACGTAATGGCATCACTACGTTAACACGAAAAGGAGAAACTGCTTCTGGATCAGTTAGACTAATAAAGAGATTCACAGAGCTCATGGTTGCGGTGAGACCCCATTGATCACAATCAGTGAGTTTGACAGGTGCTGCCACCCCTCAAATTCTGCAGCTAGTTGGCAGCTGAGTTAAAATTGCCAATGCCAGGAAGCAAAGCATCTTGGCTGCAGCATATGTACAGCACTGTCAGGCTGTAATGTTAGAATTCCATATAACTGGGGGACAGAAAAACTCAGGCTCAGGTGCCTCTTTTTTACCTCCCTCCAGCCACCAGTGTGACAGAGCACTATCAGCTTCAGCATCGACAGTTCACTCCCCAGTATCCATTTTACCAGTGAGATCTACCACATCACATAAAAGCACAAATTCTATCCTCCTTAGCTTACATAAACAAATCTGATCCAGGAGTCAGTTGTTAAACAATGCAGATGATCAAAACCTGACCAATCCCATCCAAAATGAAAATATTCTGTGAAATTTAGGTTCAATTTCGTGAAAAAAAAAAAATGTTCATGAAAGGTAATTTATGCCAGTATTTTTAGTTTAAAGATTCATTTTTTTTTTAAATCATACTTACCTAGGTGGATGTAGCATCAATCCGAGGCTGTATCTGTCTCCCACTGGCTCTAAGGCTTTGTTCACATTCAGGCGTTATAAATTGTGGGCAGAATTGGCATGATTCTGTCTGCGATTTCAAAATGTGCTCTTAAAATATGAAATCATGCATCAGTGTGTACAGGTGCCATTCATTTCAATGGCACCTGAAAACGCGGGGTGTTTTTGCCACGTGATTTCTTAAGCAACAAACGCATTGCGATTGCACAAAATCACGCGATGTGAGTCGCCCAAAAAGTTCTCGGAAAATTGAGCACCAGTCGTGGCAAACACACCCTTCAATGGCACCTGAACACGCTGAAGCACAATATCACATTTTCACAGCTCGTTTTTAAATCACGGGCAGAATCGTGGTGATTCCACGCATGATTTAAAACGCCTTTATGTGAATGGACACTTAGGAAGAGAATTGAGTGATCAGGCACCACTGATTGCTCAGTTCTCCCTGCCACTCTGAGCAGAGAGTGGTAACTGTTAGTCACTAAAGTCTGCTATGCACCCTCCCAGTGTTCAGTTGAGTGCTGGCCTGTGCAGGAGGGCAAGAGTGGCTGGCTCAGGCTCTTGGTGGTTTGCTGAGGTGCTGGTCCAAGCTCCTTGGTGGATCCCAACCATATGGTCTGGATCTTTCCGGACCGGCTGGGCTTAAGTCTGCTGTTGGATGAGAATGGGTCACAGGAGTGCAGAACAGACTGCACTCCTTTGATCCACAGGATAAGTACAGCCAAGTGAGCTTTGGCTGTACTTCTTTTTTAAAGTTGACATTCACAGCATAAGGGTGACTGAACGGATAATAACTACATTACGGAGCTGAACTAGAAATTCTCTGGCCCTGTGGGACATGCTGTATTTTGGTAGAAAAGCCAATAGAGTCAAGAGTTATAAAAAGCTCTTGGTTAACAGTAGTCTGTGTTTACCAATTTTCTAGCAATGTCACTACTTATGTTCAAACAAATAACTGTGAAAATGAAACGATTGGCAGCAGCTTACATCAATCAATCAATTCAGTCATTTTTGCAAATCAAAAGTTGATTAAAATTACTAGTTAATTAATCAAGTGTATGACTAGCCTGATTTGGGTTTGTGCTTTCACTGGTATCAATACTTTGTCCAACTGAATTCCACTAATGATCTTTTTTTTAAATTTGGTCCAGCTTGGTTACATCTAAACCTTCATATCTCACACCCAGAGAGCTGATGGGGATGCAAAACTTGTTATAGATTGTGCCATATACAATTAGTGCTGGTCTCTCCCATATGCTTCTCCAGTAACTTTCTTGGTGCCTCCGCCATTCAGAGAATTTCTGGTATTTTTTTTACTTGTATGAAATCATGATATAACCCGCCCCTCTTCTACAACTTGTTCATTGAGAGAATGCTTGTATTCATTGAAAAAAATTACAGATGTTTTCTGAATGGCAGAGGTGCCAAGTAAGAGATCCCCTGTGTTCAGTATACAGCAAGTCACTTAAGCATCACCAAGAAAAGTTCAGTGCTAACAATGCCTTTAGCAGCCTCTACTCTTCCAGAAAGGTTTTCCTGCAAGAGTTTTGAGTGTGTCTCAGGGAATTTGTGCTCATTTAGCCAAAAGAGCACTTGTGAGATCAGGTACTGACCTCACAGAAGGAAGGGCATTTTAATTCATGCTAAAGTAGTTCAGTGGGGTTGAAATCAGGCTCTGCGCAGGCCACTCAACTTTCTTCACACAAAACTAGATTCCTATGGACCTGGCTTTGTGCACAGTTGTACAGGAAGGGCCTTCCCCAAACGGCTGCCACAAGGTTAGATGGGCATAACTGTTTAACCACCTCCCGCCCGTCATATAGTCCAATGACGGCGCAAGGTGGTTCACTCGTTCTGATAGGCCATCTTTTGACAGCCTTCCATTTTCACCAGCGCGCAGCGCGCAGTCGTGCGATGGCGGTGCTCTGTGTCCCTCAGACACAGCGGATCACCGATTCACGGAAAGTGCCAAAGATGTTGGCTCGGTCATGTGATCAGCTGTATCCAATCACAGCTGATCACATGTAAACAGGGAAATGCCGGTTATCAGCATTTCTCTCCTCTCGAGCTGTCACGCTGACAGATCGAGAAGAGAGGAGAGCCGGTAATTGGCATTCCATGGAGGGGACATGTACACTGATCATCAGGTCATGATGATCAGTGTGGCCCCAGAAGTGCCCCCTGTCAGTGTCCATCAGTGCCAGCTGTCAGTGCTGAACAGTGCCCATCAGTGCCACATCAATGCCACATATTAGGGCCTACCAGTGCACATCAATGCCACATATCAGTGCCCATCTGAGCTGCCCTTCAGTGTCACCCAATGCCATCAGTGCCAATCATTGCCACCTATCAGTGCTGCCAGTCAGTGCCGCCTATCAGTGCGCATCAGTGCCACCTATCAGTGCTAGTCAGTGCCACCTAACAGTGCCAGTCATTGCCACCTAACAGTGCCGCCTATCAGTGCCATATATGAGTGCCAGCCTTTCAATGCCCATCAGTGCCACCTACCAGTGCCTGCCTCATCAATGGCCATCAGTGCCACCTATCAGTGTCCATCAGTGCATCTTATCAGTGCCCATCACTACAGCCTCATTAGCGCACATCAGGAAGGAGAAAAATCACTTATTTACAAAATTTTATAACAAAAACTAAGAAAAAACATTTTTTTTTCAAAATTTTCAGTGTTTTTTTGGTTTAAGAAAAAATAAAAAAAACCCAGAGGTGATTAAATACCACCAAAATAAAGCTCTAGCTGTCACAAAAAATGATAAAAATTCATATGGGTACAGTGTTGCATGACCGCGCAATTGTCAAAGTTTAAGCACTGAGAGCTGGAAATTGGCCTTGACAGGAAGGGGGTATAAGTGCCCTGTAGGTAAGCGGTTAAAATATCTTTGTATACTGCAGCATTAACAGTACCCTTCACTGAATATACATGTGTCTAATCATTTAGACGGCCTGTCTACACACTTTTACATTTAGTGTACCTTCTGTCTGTCTGCTGCTTCTGAGCATTCTTGAAGTAAAGTATAAGTCACACTTACAGTATGTCTCATCATATGACTCCATAAAACAGCCTCCCACATTCCTTTACAAAAAACATTGTGATCGTATCATAAGTAGTATATGTTTAAAGATAGAGACTGCACAAATAGAATTGGACCACCTTTTATTAATCATTTATTGTAGTCTCTTAAAGTAGTGGTCAAAAGGTTCAGTTTAATTTACAAAATTATTTAAAACACAACAAAATTTCTAAACTGAATAAAAAATTCCATGTTATTCTCTCTCTTGTAGCTGCTCAATTGGAAGCTTGAGTTTTAGAGGATTCCGCAGACGCCTCAAACTTTCTTCAGCCTTGGGAGCAGGAAAAAAAAACGTATATTACATTTTCAGCAGATAAGGATACATATCAACATGACCAATCCTGACACTGAGGCCCTGTTCAAACTGCACGTAGCAGGAAGTCCAGTTCTTGCTTGCAATTATGTCTCGGTGATGCTCACGCTATTCTGTATGTTGTCCATAGGGCAGCCCATTCACATAAATGTGAGGCGCCCAAAAGAAGCTTTGGAACCAAATTTTGGCTGTACTTCAGGCACAATTTTACATGTGTGTTTTGTTGTGTAACAATCGCAGCAAATCACACTGCATTAGGGATGAATGGCACCAAAACGTGCGTCCCGCGTTTTTCCACAACTCCTATCTCCCAAGTGTAATTAGAGCCTGGAGCATGCTTATGATGGCTCATGCTGTAAAGCACTGCACAAAATGTTGGCACTACAAATCCTGTATAATAATAATATACTGAAAAATTTTATCTACCAATGTTTTCTTTCAGAGTTGGTGGTCTTGCTCAGATCAAATATGCTCCCCCATGTGACACTGATAGTATATCCTTATGACAAAACTGACATTTTAAGAAAGGGCTTTGAAATGATAAACTTTATAGCCATTGTGTGTCATCATTCCGTGGTGAATAGGAATTGTTATATTTTGTAGTTTGCCAGGTAGCCCATCTGTCACTGTCTATATTCACCTACATGGAATTGCCTACATCTAACAATCTACTATTCCTACACTGTCACCAAGGCTGTAAAAATAGATAGAAAAACAGCCAACTTCTTGTAACTGTTTACACTATTATTAAAAAAATGTTTTAATCTGTGAAGTGCTCAGAAAAAAATGGTTCTTTGTAATAAAGCAAATTCAATAACTCATCTGAGCCCCTGCTTGAAGATCATTGCTATAAAAAAAAAAAAAAGTTTTTAGAAGTACAAATCAAATCCAGTAAATAAACAATTGATATCTGTAATTTTATTGTATATCTTAGTTAAATGCAGAACAACATTATTGTGATCATGTAGTGATTGCTTTGTACCTATGTTTGATGACAGCTGCCTGATCCAGACATGCTGGGTGATGATCTTATATTTTTATGCAGGCAGTCAGATGATTGCTGTTATTATACGTAACATCCACTGGAAATGTTAGTACACCTGAGAAAGGCAGAGCTGACAGCATCTGCTATTGCTAGTCCCCCCTCCCAATTCCATGAACATAAACAGGAATGCAAAGCGGAGCTGAAAATTGAGGGTAATCAATGTATCTAGATTGCTTCCAGGGTCTTTCATTTGTACCCTATGCTTCCACTTAATGTAATACAGGTAAAGTCAATACCTCTGCCAGCTTATTTTTCAGCCAATTGTATTTTTCTACATCAAAGTGCTGCTTCTTGGCTCTTTTATAGAAGAAATGCAGGAACTGACGGTCTCTTGCATCTGGATAAAGATAGTCCTGTCGAAGAGAGGCAGTACAGGTTTAAATGTTCGTACAAAAAGTCAACAGTTCATAAAAGAGTATAACAAAGGGTGTTTCAATATTAAGGACAGCTAGGTTGTTTATTTCTTAGAGGTTACATATTTGTCTACAGTGATACCGTCTGCTCTTGTTCTAATGTGTGCCTGTATAACAGGAAACAGAAATACAAGCACTGCCCCGTCACTGCTGACCTCTTAATGAAAATGCTAGTTGATTGGCTGTTATGCCGACTTTAATCCTTTCACTGGTTACTAGTCTGGAACAAGTATGCAGATCTTGGTCTGGGCATGAACTGTATGGAGTTTGCATGTTCTCCTTGTGCTTGCATTGGTTTCCTCCCACGCTTCAAAGACATGCTGGTATGATAATTGTCTCCTGTCCAAATTGGTCCTAGCGTGTATATATGCATGTGAGATCAGGACCTTAGACTGTAAATGTGAACGTACAATATTTAGGTGTTGCACATGTCATTAATGCTATGAAAATACATGTTAAAATAAAAAATCAGGAAAGTCAGAAGCCCTAAGCTGCAAATGTGTTCCGGATCACTGAAACAAGGCAGTAAGAGGGTTAATATGGCATATCAAAAATAATCAAATCAATTATAGAGCTGTCAGCAATGTCAGCTTCCATTTGTCTCATAACAGTTCTCTCCTAAGCCCCTTCTAACACATACAGAACCTTAAGATATGGCTTTGCATAGTACACAAAGTACAACCTATACCATTAATCAGAGGATGTCATGGGCAAAGTAGGAAGAAATAACCCATTAACAATCACTCAAGAGCAGCAGATGAATCTCATATGGCCAAGGAGATTTTTCTGTGGCTGAGTTGTTTTTATTTTCCTAATAGAAAAAGGAGCATTCCTTTCACTGCACATGCAGCTACTGCTCAACATGGCTGAAGCCAGGAAGGCATTACAGCAGTGCAGCAAATGGGGTAAACATGGAGAGATCTCACATTGTTCTTCTTTATTGATACAAAAGCAGTCTACAGAAAGTTTGAGCTTGCTACTGCGATGCAATGATAACACAGGTCTGCAAAAAAATTTTTTTCAAGAGCTGTTTTGGTTATTCCACGTAATCTTTATGTTTTTTGGTGCGCTGAATCCAAAAATGACCCCCATTTTGTCATAGGACATCACATTTCCTGACAATTTAGGCAACTATGTTAAATAAGGGGCAATACCTCAAAATAAATGGAAATAGACTTATAAAATTAAAGTTTTATTACAATTTTTTCATGAAAATCCTTTTTTGAACTGAAATGAGCTCACCTACACACACTAAACTCGATTCTTCTCCCCTGTGAGGCTCCTCTTGGTGCATTTATGCTTGTGAGTAGCATCTAGAATGTCTCTCTAAAGCATCCAACAGTAGTCTGCCATCATTGTAATGCTCCATTTTCCCTGGTATCTCCTTTCCATCTCTTTAATGTCTTGGTGGAATCGTTCACCTTGTTCCTCACTCACAGCTCCCAAGCTCTCTTTTTGTAGTGAGGATCTTTGTTATTGCCTAACACATTCTGTACGACTTCTTTAAATGCAATCCACCCTTCTTTTTGAGGATCCGTCATGGTATTGACAAACTCTTGATCAACTATAAGCCTTCTAATGTCTATTCTGACAAACACACTTTCCTTCAATGTTGCTTCTGACAGGCCTGGAAACCTGGTGACCAAGTATTTGAAACATTCTCCATCTCTTGGAAGTGATTTTACGAATTGCTTCATCAATCCCAATTTTATGTGGAGAGGTGGTAGAAGAACTTTATGGGAAGGTACCAAAGTTTCTTGGAGGACATTTTTTTCACTGACTGTTAGCACCCTCAGCTGCCAACTCTTCTTGTTCCAGTGATTTTGTTGATCTAGACCAGGGGTGTCCAAACTTTTTTCAAAGAGGGCCAGATTGGATGAAGTGAACATGGTGGAGGGGCCAAACATTTTTCCAAACATTCTTTGAACCATTACAATTAAATGCAAATAAATTATTTTATGCCAAGTTAATTGCAAACGACATACTTTTCATTTCAAAACATTAAGATCAACTGACAGCTGATTTTTCACAATGTATTGAAAATAAATTTAAAAAAAACTTATGTGAAGGGTGAAAAAGGTAGCTGGAGCTGAAGTCTCTGCTCGGCAGCCGGGAGGGGGAAGAGAAACACACTTCACGCTGGAAGCCCGCCCTGATGTCACCGCCCTCTGTCGCTCCCAGCGCGGCGCAGCCACGCATGTGCACTGCTCTCAAGCAGAAGACTGTCTGCCACAGAAGGGAGGGCCGTGCGACAGCCGCATTTACACAGACCAGGGAGAACGCGCCGCAGTCAGGCATGCGCACTGCCCTCTGCTCTCAAGCAGAAGACTGTCTGCCATAGAAGGGAGGGCCGTGGGAGGGGCACATTACACAGAGCAGGGAGGGCTGTTGGAGGGCCGTATTAAACCGACCCCGGTTTAATGCCGGACTTTGGACATGACTGATCTAGACTGTCCCATAGACACAGAAAACAAGGATATTTGGTATCCCACCCACTGGATTCTTCAGGAAAGATTAACCCCTTCTACCATTAGAAGCACAGACTCAAGGCTGAGGCTTACACATACAGCATGCTGCTGAGTATCCCAGTAGTCAGACATGTCACTCAGAGCAGCACTTGTATTCACCCCCTTTGCAGTGGGGGAGGGGCAGAGATTGTTTACCTGTAAATAACAACAAAGGACCAGAAGAGAACTAGGGAAATGAGGAAATAGAATTTCTTTTCCCTAAAACTTGCTTAGCTTATGTATATATTGCTGACCATCAGATTTCCAGTGCTATATTTTTTTTACATAACTCGGACAACCCCTTTAAGGTTTTTTTTGGCATTTGATATCTTAAATGCACTTATGTGAATTAATAGTAATTTGGACTTTAAATTTGGTTAAAAACCCATAATATAAAAAAATACCAAAAATTAAATTTTTTTTATACATTTGAAGACAATTTTGCATTTTGTGGCAAAACATGACGTCTAGGAGTTTTTTCAATATTTTATTTGTTTTCAGCACACCAAAATTCATGGAAATTAGATTAAAATAATCAAACAGCTTTTTAGTCGCAGACGTGTGTAATTGATTATAATTATTTTTTTTCTATTATTATCATGGATTTACATGGCTGTAGGGACTAACTTTAGTAGTGTTATTAGCCCTAAATGTGGTGATATCCAACATAAATCTATATTACTAAGTGCATTGTACTGGCTTCCATGTTTTGGAGCAGTCAGGTCGACAAGGGCCATTGTTTCCATTATAGATAAGTCTATGGCACTGTATAAAATATATAATACTGTAGTTAAACTTCACCTTTAACTCTACGTGTTAACTCTATGTCTCTTGTATCCAGTTTCAGCAAACTCTTTTTTGTCTGTACAGACCTTTATAGCCTGCCTATGTTCACACTTTTAGAAAGTTAGCATTTTTTAGGCAGTCAAACTGAGATATACAGTCAGCTTGACACCTAACAGGTTTGTCATTATACCCATGTGTTGATTTCTAGTGGTTTTTATGACCACATTTTCTTTAACCACTGAGTTATGAGAGTTAACAGCATACTAACCTGGAGGACGTTCCATGCACTTCATGTTGTAAAAATGGTAAATTATTATCTATGTGCTTCTACTACTTCTCACACTTCGAAATACACACCTTATTTATAAAACAGAGAGAACAAGTGCTCTGCTACTTACCTTTCTAGTCCAAATAATAGCAAACTGATAAGAAGAAGGATGTCTCGTCACCTCTTTTTTTTTCTTGCCATGGCCTCTCTATTCTTTTTCCTTTCATCTCCACTGTCCATTCTTATCTGTTTTGTTTTTACTTACTAAAAATATATAAAAGCTAAAAGCCTGCTGACAGCTGACGTCACAGAGCCAGTGCAGACTCTGAAAAGATCCACACAAAAACCTGGACTGGCAGTTGGCTAAGTCTCCCAGCAAGACGCCGAGAGCCTGAGCCAGCTGCTCCCTCCCAACCCAGTGCTGGATGGGCACAGCAGGAGATCTGCAGTCTGAAGACTGAGAATGGAGCAGTCTTTGATCACTCAGTTCCCGCACTTAGAGCCGGAGAGGGACAGATGCCGCACCGGACAAATACTGCACACACCCCCCCCCCGAGTATGATTTTTTTTTTTTTGCGGAACCTGAACCTCTTTAATTTATAAGATTTCATGTATATCACACACTTAGACTGTAGTTGAAGGTACCTTTTAGCGGTCTTGTATTTCTAAATAATTGATACAAGTATTACTGTTGGCATCCATATTTTATCAATCTAGAATACAACAGTGTTATTTAATAACCCGGTACAAAGATGAATGAAGGGCAGTCATTTAAGAAAAACAGATTCAGGTCTGCTGTACACAGCTGATCAAAGGGCACCCTATACCCGCTTTCTCTGGGCTCCATTTAAATAAACTAGAACTTTCTGCCACCGCTTCACAGACAACTGATCTATAGATAACTAAACACTACAGGTAGCGCACTCATGTTCAGACTTTAACAGAACAAATCCCACCCACTTCCATCAAACTATGTTCAGAAGTTTTGAACATGAAAGACATGCCAGCTACAAAGTTTAAAATTAACCCCTAAAGCAAGATTATACCTTGCAAATGGATCTTGAGTTTTCTCTGAGAACCTATATGAGCAGTCTCCAATAATGCTACCAGATTAGTGTATCCAGAGTATTAATATATGATCTCTAGCATGTGAAAATCAATGTGCATAACCATTATTTAAACTGTATCAGAACATAAAACCAGTTCTGTTGCTCGAGCATTCTACTCACCATGTTGGTTAGAAGATAGTATGCATAAAAGGCAATGATGTTTCCATAGGTGATGAAGTATGTAACAGGCTCCATTATATCCCAAGAGTAGACCCACCATGTGAGATAGCCTAAAGCTCCTCCCTGTGTAGACAGCAGTGCCAGTCCAGTCCACAAAAGAGTCTTGCTTCTGGCATCTGATTTAGCCATTATATCCAACCTAATCTAAAGAAACACAAAGAAAGTTAGCAATGTATGTGATATGTGTTATCTTCCATCCAATCTCATTCTGTTGGTGGATTTCAGAATAGGCGCCTAGACAGCTCTATAGCCCATGCTGCATTCTGTGCAGAATGGACTACAGAATTGGCTGTCATTCTTTGTCAGAGCTTTACAAGTAACAGCTATGTCAACTTTTAAACAATCCGATACATCTGTAATTCCCTACAAAAAGTAATATTTTTTCTTTTTATTCCAAATCTACATTGGAAAATTAAATTGTATGTATAGGGTTAAAATTACTATCAGGATCTTTTGCTGTCCATTTCCTGCTCACTTTCTATCTGGCAATGCTGCAGGAAAAAAGAGGAAATCTAACTAAAGTCACTGGAACAAGTGTCCTCATTGGAGGATTTCCCCTCATATCTGGCTCTGGTGACAACACTAAAGGTCTGAATTTCTCTCAATGTGTCTCTTTTATAGTGGTCTCAATGAGAATAACAGTGTGTAAATCACACAGACAGCAATTAAAGCAGTGCCTCTCTGTACTCTATTAAAATGATCAGTGATGGCACATTAGGCAGGAAATTTAAATCAGCTAGTCACGTGGGGGAATGTGTTACAAATACTACACATCATGATTATCAAAAACAGTCTGCTTTTAGAACGCAAGACTTTTGGCGTCTGGTTAACCAGATGCCAAAGAAAAAAATAATTATGAAAATCAGTAAAAAACAAGTTTATAACAAAAGTGAACATAAAGGAACATACAACCACTTTAATTTTATGCATGTGCTGATATTTAAAGCTGCAACTATGACACAAAGTTGCTTAAATAACAAACATTGCATGACCAATTCTGTCTGTGTTGCCATTTTGAGATAAAGAATGAATCTAAAAGCACAAATAAATACCATCCAAAACTCAAAATTCATCTTGGGTGGTACAGCACATCACCTACAGATCTATAGTTCTGCTCAAGACCGGCCTCTTCTGCAGATGGACAACCTGGGTACCAGTCATTACAGTCAGTTTTCACTCTTCATTAAATATAGGAATAAAGGACTTCCCCTATCCTTGGGAGAAAGCCAGGAGTGATGAAATGCTTCAAGGAAAGTTGGTTCTGGGTTGGCGACATCACTGTATGCGGTCATTTTACTGACTATTAAAAATACTGCAAGAAGAGCTAATTGGAGTCTGACTGACAGCCCATCACCTGCCTAAAAAACCCCAAAAACCTTAATTTGGTGTATGCAGAGATCAGGGTGGTATGGATATTAGAAACTAAAGGCAGAAAGTGAGAGCTGTTTTAGACCAAATGAAGATGAATTTTCTTTATCTTCACTACATTATAAATGCCAAACTTCCAACACAGAATCTGGTCATACACTAGCACAATTTTGTTAAAAATGTTTTGTATATTTGACTTTCTAATGGCTAGTGGGGACAAATTGACATTCATTTTGATGATAGTGATGAAAACATTTGAAGGAGCACAATGGAAATTTTGTTGTACAAATTAATGTTTAACTTTAAAATTCCAAGTTCAAAAACAATTAAAAAAAAAAAACTTTTAACCACTTGCTCTCCAGAGGGTTTACCCCCCCTTCCTGACCAGGCCATTTTTGCAATACGGTGCTGCGTTACTTTAACTGACTATTTCGCGTCATGCAACGCTGCACCCAAATATCCTTTTGTTTTCACAAATAGAGCTTTCTTTTGGTGGTATTTGATCGCCTCTGCATTTTTAATGTTTTGCGCTATAAACAAAAAAACCAAAAAAAAACAACAATTTTGAAAAAAACAAAACAAAAAAAAACCACAAATGTGTTTTACTTTTTTACAGTAAAAAAAAAAATAAAAAAAAATCAAATTTCATCATAAATGTAGGCTAAACTGTATTCTGCTACGTCTTTGCTAAAAAAAAAAAAAAAAAAAAATCCCAATACATGTAAATTAATTGGTTTACATGAAAGTTATAGCTTCTACAAATGGCGGTATATATACTGGAATTTTTATTTTTTTTATACAGTTGTGGCGATCAGCGACTTATAGCGGGACTGCAGCTGGCATTCTGACACTGGGGAGGGGGGGACTGACTAACTGCCACTGATATCCCCAGCAATACAAAGCAGCAAGTTGGTGCTGACAGGGGAGAGATCTGTGTTGTTTACATACAGACCTCTCCCCCATCATTGTTCCTTGGCGATCGCCGGGTGATTGACAGCTGTATCCGCCAATGGCGGCACGAATAGGGCCTACCCAGAAATGCAAAATCACGTATATATACACGTGATTTTGCGCAGCCCTACCGCCCTGTAGCAGTAGTTGGACACTTACACCTACAGGTAAGCTTATAATAAAGCTTACCTGTAGGTACAAGGAATATCTCCGAATATGCACTGTTTGGGAGATATTCATTTTCACTGCAGCCAGTAATGTCACCAGCCCATGTACTCTGAAGGGACGGCATTCTCACGCTGTCGTTGCAGAGCTTTGTGCCACGGCCATGACTCTAGTGCGCATGTGTGAGTGTACCATCATCGTGGCTTAGCTATTCAAATGGCCGGAACCTGTGAATCTGGAAAAAAGACCAGGTGAAGATGAAAGCCCTGTCAGCAGTGACAGCACGCCACTGGAGGGCTTTGTTTTTAGGTAAATCTTTCATAAAGTGCTAGTATGCAATGCATACTAGCACATTATGACATTGTCTTGCAATGAGAACATTATTTTTTATTTTTTGGAAAACTTTACTACCACTTTAAGTACTTTTGAGCGACATTCATCAAGTCACTGTTGCCATTATTGAATGTACTGCTGAGCTTTTTGATATGAATGTTCATTTGGACATTTGCCAATGTATAGCCTGCTTTACAGTCCCTGGTTTGATACATGGATCGTAGTGGGTACACCTGAGTACACCTTGTCTATTCACAAAAATTATTTTCACAGGATGTAAGGAGCTGGAGTATGAGTAGGAGGAGTGAATAATTGTCACGATCATGTTTGTGACTTGGCAGGTACAACTGCATACTACTTTCTCACAGAAGATTTTTTTTTCTATTTCCTGCTGTATAAACCTGAATGTTCTTAGACCAAAAGCTCTTTCTAATGGTCTTTTTTGTACAAAACAGCTACATGATTTACTCAAATCTTTCTGAGCTAGAAAAAAAATACTCCTTGCTTGTGCTAACTGTAGATATACAATAACAGTATATTAGTAAGCATTTTCTCTGAGCTGGCTCTGTGTTTCTTTGACTATCCATCAGTAAATATTAGTAGAGACATACATCAATCAAAGCTGCTCCAGATGATTGGTATCCCTCTCCCAGTGACCACGATAGATGAAGGTGCACAAGCTGCTCATCTGCAGCAACACAGGAAAAAAGAAAACCCGGAATCCGTTTCATTTCACATCACATAACAGTGTCGGAAACAAAGAAATGTTAACATGTTTCGCACTTATTCATAACCTCACATACACAAAAGAAAGTAAACATATATACACACCATATAATTACAGGACCGCCCTCACCTGGTCACATATATACACATACAGTTGTGTTCAAAATAATAGCAGTCAGACATCACTAACCTGATCAATCACTGTTTTTGATAGAAATTATATTTGTACATGGCAAATAATTTACTAGCAGGTGTAGTAGAGTAATAGAAATCCAACAGACCCAACAGTCATGACATGCATGCTGCTGATTCTGTGTAATTGAATCACTAATTGAAAGGGGCATGTTCAAAATAATAGCAGTGTGGAGTTCTATTAGTGAGGTCATTCATTCTTTGAAAAACAGGTGGCAATTATTGCCCTTATTTAAGGAAGGAAGGCAGCAAATGTTGTACCTGCTGGTTACAGTGCATTTCTCTCTGAAATTCTGAGGAAAATGGGTCGTTCCAGACATTGTTCAGAAGAACAGCGTACCTTGATTAAAAAGTTGATTGGAGAGGGGAAAACATATAAAGAAGTGCAGAAAAAGATAGGCTGCTCAGCTAAAATGATCAACCAAAACCTGAAAGACGTGGAGGAAAGCAAAAAACTACCATTCGAATGGATAGAAGAATAGCCAAAATAGCAAGGACTCAGCCAACAATCAGCTCCAGGAAGATCAAAGAAGGTCTAAAGTTACCTGTGAGTACTGTTACAATTAGAAGACGCGCCTATGTGAAGCCAAGCTATCTGCAAGAAGCCCCCGCAAAGTCCCACTGTTGAAAAAAAGACAAGTGCTGAAGAGGTTGCAATTTGCCAAAGAGCACATTGACTGGCATAAAGAGAAATGGCGCAACATTTTGTGGACTGATGAAAGTAAGATTGTTCTTTTTGGGTCTAGTGGCCGGAGACAGTTTGTCAGACGACCCCCAAACACTGAATTCAAGCCACAGTACACTGTGAAGACAGTGAAGCATGGTTGCGCAAGCATCATGATATGGGGATGTTTCTCATACTACGGTGTTGGGCCTATTTATCGCATACCAGGGATCATGGATCAGTTTGAATACATCAGAATACTTGAAGAGGTCATGCTGCCTTATGCTGTAGAGGAAATGCCCTTGAAATGAGTGTTCCAACAAGACAACGACCCCAAACACACCAGTAAACGTGCAACATCTTGGTTCCACACCAACAAGATTGACGTTATGGAGTGGCCAGCCCAATCCCCGGATCTTAATCCAATAGAAAACTTGTGGGGTGACATCAAAAATGCAGTTTCTGAGGCAAAACCAAGAAATAGAGAAGAACTGTGGAATGTAGTCCAATCATCCTGGGCTGGAATACCTGTTCACAGGTGCCAGAAGTTGGTTGACTTCATGCAGCACAGATGTACAGCAGCTCTCAGAAACAGTGCTTATACAACTAAATATTAATTACGTGATTCAAAGGAAAGCAAAATCTTCAAACATTTTTCAGTTTATATAGTGAATGTTTGAGTTTGTAAAGAAGAATACAAACACTGCTATTTTTTTGAACAGTCTAATGTTCACTTTTCTTCAATTTTTTTTTAGAGGAACAAGACAAATTTGATATATTTTTCTTCATGTTTTGATTTGGAATAGAATGTGTAGTGTTCCCAATGCATTTGTGTGTATGGAAATAAAAGCTATTAGAAGGATTTTGATCTTTATTCACTTTTTTCAACACACTGCTATTATTTAGAACATAACTGTATATAACATGTGACCAGGTGAGGGCGGTCCACTAATCATATGGAGTGTACAGGTGAAACTCGAAAAATTAGAATATCGTGCAAAAGTTCATTTATTTCAGTAATGCAACTTAAAAGATGAAGCTAATATATGAGATAGACTCATTACATGCAAAGCAAGATAGTTCAAGCCGTGATTTGTCATAATTGTGATGATTATGGCTTACAGCTCATGAAAACCCCAAATCCACAATCTCAGAAAATTAGAATATTACATGCAATCAATAAAACAAGAATTGTACATAGAACAATATCGGACCTCTGAAAAGTATAAGCATGCATATGTACTCAGTACTTGGTTTAGGCCCCTTTTGCAGCAATTACTGCCTCAATGCCGCGTGGCATGGAAGCTATCAGCCTGTGGCACTGCTGAGGTGTTATGGAAGACCAGGATGCTTCAATAGCGGCCTTCAGCTCTTCTGCATTGTTCGGTCTCATGTCTCTCATCTTTCTCTTGGCAATGCCCCTTAGATTCTCTATGGGGTTCAGGTCAGGTGAGTTTTCTGGCCAATCAAGCACAGTAATCCCAAGGTCATTGAACCAGGTTTTGGTGCTTTTGGCAGTGTGGGCAGGTGCCAAGTCCTGCTGGAAAATGAAATCAGCATCCCCATAAAGCTCATCTGCAGAAGGAAGCATGAAGTGCTCCAAAATCTCCTGGTAGACGGCTGCGTTGATCCTGGACCTAATGAAGCACAGTGGACCAACATCAGCAGATGACATGGCTCCCCAAATCAACACAGACTGTGGAAACTTCACACTGGTCTTCAAGCATCTTGCAGTGTGTGCCTCTCCATTCTCCCTTTATACTGTGTCCTTGATTTCCAAATGAGATGCAAAAGTTGCTCTCATCAGAAAAGAGGACTTTGGACCACTGAGCAACAGACCAGGTCTGTTTTTCTTTAGCCCAGGTAAGACGCTTCTGACGTTGTTTGTTGTTCAGGAGCGGCTTGACAAGAGGAATACGACATTTGAAGCCCATGTCCAGGATCCATCTGTGTGTGGTGGCTCTTGATGCACTGACTCCAGCCTCAGTCCACTCCTTGTGAAAGTCCCCAACACTTTTGAATGGCCTTTTCCTGACAATCCTCTCCAGGCTGCAGTCATCCCTGCTGCTTGTGCGCCTTTTTCTTCCACACTTTTCCCTTCCACATAACTTTCTATTAATGTGCTTTGATACAGCACTTTGGGAACATCCAACTTCTTTTGCAATTACCTTTTGAGGCTTTCCCTCCTTATGGAGGGTGTCAATGATGGTTTTCTGCACAACTGCCAGGTCAGCAGTCTTTCCCATGATTGTGATTCCTAATGAACCAGACTGAGAGACCATTTAAAGGCGCAAGAACCCTTTGCAGGGGTTATGGCTTAATTAGCTGATTAGAGTGGGACACTTTGAGCCTAGAATATTGCACAATTTCACAATATTCTAATTTTCTAAGATTGTGGATTTGGGGTTTTCATGAGCTGTAAGCCATAATCATCACACGTATGACAAATCACGGCTTGAACTATCTTGCTTTGCATGTAATGAGTCTATCTAATATATTAGTTTCACCTTTTAAGTTGCATTACTGAAATAAATGAACTTTTGAACGATATTCTAATTTTTCAAGTTTCATCTATATATACTATATGTTTACTGTCTTTTGTGTATGTGAGGTTATGAGTAAGCACTAGTTCTAAGTGCAAAACGCATTAACTATTCTTTGTTCCCGACACTGTATGTGATATATTTTTCATGTAAGCATCAAAGTGGAAGAAGTGCAGCGGATTCTGGGTTTTCTCTTTTCCAGTTAACATTAGTGTTCAGGCTCTTCAGCCTTTTATTATTATTATTATTATTATTATTATTATTATACAGGATTTATATAGTGCCAACAGTATGTGCAGTGCTTTACAACATGAGGGCAGACAGTGCAATTAAAATACAATTTAATACTGTAGGAAACAGAGGGCCCAGCTTGTTAGAGCTTAAGATCGAATAACTGGTGCCTCATTCACTAATTAGTCTCCCTTGATTTAAAGAACCGACAACTGGGTTGTTGACGCAAGAATTTGTATATTAACTCCAAAATCATCAGACATAAGCAGGATTATTTTTATTTGCACCATAGTAAGTTAAAATACTGTGAGGATGACAGAATTCTCTCAGAGTTTTGGATATAAGGTTGTCTGAAGCTCGGCAGTTGCTTCCTTAACAACCAATTATCTTAATATACTGGCAACATTGTGCCAGTTCCTTGAAAAGGTAGCTCTAAATGATGGTATGTAATCGAAATTTAAAAACTGTGAACATGACAAATTAGAAAGTTCTAATACAGAGACAAATGGCATAGCTGTAGCAAAACTGCTGACATTTTTACAAACGCAAATATGGTTACAAAATATATGGCAACCCACTCTCCAACTCACATTATTTCCAAATCATACCCAATCCTCTATTCCCTGGCACATCCAAGCCTCTCCATCATACATGCAAGCTTGGGAGAGAACCTCAGACCAATCTCACACCTAAAGACTGGGGAAAATGTTTTATTCTAACCCATAAATTATCCGTAGGGACAAAGACTCAGGAGAAATTGTTTAGAGTATTTTGGATAGATGGTTATAATCCCTGTAAGGTTTATTTTTGCCATCTGTGTCCCTTTGGTGAGATTTCCATTCACTTCCCTGTTCCAAAGCCAGTAAAGAAAGTGAGACAAAATCCCTCTAAGGTGAGGGAATCCTTGATTATCACCCGGGTCAACAAAACTAACATCTCCGTTGAAAAATCCCTCCTTTTTCGTGTTCTGGGAATAACCCAAAATGTGGGATTTTATTTTCATTGATAACGGTAAACAGGACTAATACAGCGAGTGAATCTCCCTAACAGGGGAACAGATAGCAACAAAAACCTGACGTGTGTTCTAATCCATCTCCACTGCTGGAATGGGCAGTAGGAAGAAACTCTATTAGAGTTTTGTAATTTTTTGTTGTCTAAAAAATTGATAGACAACTCTGCTGGACCTACATGGCCATGATGGAGTACTCCCCACTACCCCATCCAGTCCTTCTTGTCCTAGTAATTGCATTCTTTCCTCCTTTCCTCTCTGTCCCCTATACTTTTTCATTGCTCTTTATTTCCACTTAGAACCACACACTTAACTTCACCCTCCGAATGACTGCTTTCACTCAGTAGGTGAATGCCCCAGCTAATGTTACAATCTGTTACAAAAAATGTACCCAGAAAAAAAATCCCATTCAGAATATACACTTTTAACAGATTAGTTGGTTTAGCACTGGAAGATACTTGAACCGAATCACTCATCAAAAATATTCTGTATCACTACCATTTTGTGCGTTATCTCTGTATTTACTTCTTGTAAAACCCAATAAAATCAGATTGAACTAAAAATGTGTGGCATTATTAAGAACAAGGTATTTTTAGAAGTGTTTGATTATTTGTTTCTATTTTTGGTATGGTGCAGCCATAGTTTTTAGCAGATGCAAGGTACAGGACCATACTCTTACAGCATACACAGCAGAACAGTGGCCCACAGAGACCATGCTTAAAGTGTTACTAAACCCAGGACTCTGAATTCATTATATCTGGTCTCCCACAGTACACAGAACATGGACGTGCAATTATTTTAGTATATATAAACTGCTAAATACCTTTTCTCATCAGCCGTTAGAGCAGTCTCAAGACTTCTATCAGTGTTCAGCAGAGCACTGGTTAAAGCTTGTAGGAGGAGTTTTCTTTCTGCTTTAGGAGGATACAGAACCCCTGACCTCTGTTTGGACAATGCTAATTGGCTCTGTGCTGATCACATGCACTCTCCCAAAAAAACACCTCTCTAGCAGTATAGATCAAATTGAGTATGTGCAGAGTGACTCCACAAGATATGCCTTTTTAGGAGATAAGAAGGGGACACTGAAAGAAGGGTCAGGATCAAACAGCGTTTTTACAAAATGCAGAGGATTAACCCCTTAGGTTCCACAGTGAGTAAAACAAGCATGCTTTACTGCATATACAGACTGATTTTACTGTTGTTTAAGGCCAAGTTCAGATCTATACTGCTCTGCAGGCCACAAGTGCAGCCTGCAGTTTTTGGCAGGGAAAAGGTCCTTCCAACTATCTTAGAACATGGCCACATGGAAATCGCACCACATTTTTCAGTGTGTGTGGGTTCCAATAGAGTTAATGGCACTCCCATGTGCTTTCTCTGCAGTACAATGTTTTGTGTGCAGCTGCGGGAACGTGTGCAAATTTACACACGCACTTCTGCAACCGCACATATGTGAACTAGCCTAAAAGACTGTTTCTCAAAACCACAAACAAGGTAACAAGGTAAACAGGGCTGAACTAAGGTGGCAGCTCACGTGTTTTTTTTTTTTACAATATAGCACAAAGAGGTGTGCCATATTTCTGATGCCTATAAGGGCCCTTTCACACCTATGCATACACATTGCAATGATCATGGTTCCACACATGCATAAGTGTGAATCTTATATTTAAAAGTAACAAAAGTATTGCATTTTTTAAGTCTTTGTTAAACAGTGCTAGCAGAATACATTTCAACTCACCTGTTCTAGGGGCAACAGCTCTTCTTTTAGGGCCTCTATCCTCTGTATGAGTGCCTGTTCTTTGTGTAGATGATATTCTTTGGAGTGCAAAGCTGAATGCAGGTCATGAACCAAAGACTTCACAGGATCCATTCCATTAGACTCATTAGTAGGTTGCTTGTCTGAAAGAAAAATAAGCACTCACATTTTGCATCCCTCATGTCCTGCAGAACAGTCTACAAACCAAGTGATCAAACCAAAGATTACATCTAAAACCCCAGTTTTTCAGTCTTCACAGATCCCTTCATCGACGAGGACCTTGAGTTATTAAGAACGTCACTTTCCATGTGGTTTATATGCCTTCCTGCATCACTTTACTATTAAATGGTTTGTGCCCTGGAATTGTTGCATACTGGATACTTGAAAGGTTTACACATAATAAACTATAGTTATATTTTACTGAATCAATAGCGCTTTGTTTTATAAAATTTATTTTTGTCATTTTTCAGCCATAGTTGCTCTGCCAGATGAGCAACATGGAAACTGTCACACTGCACACAGAGCAGTTACTCTAGGAGAGCTGGACAGAGTCATAGAAGGTCCTTAACCCATCAGCAGAACCAGTATCTGCTCCTTTGTGCAAGAAGGAACAGAATGAGCACTGCCAGAGCTCTACAAAATTACCTCCAGCAGGCCACTGGTGTGAATGTCTGACCAATCAATCAAAAACAGACTTCATGAGGGTGGCCTGAGGGACCGACATCCTCAAATGAGCCCTGTGCTCACTGCCCGGCACCATAGAGTTCGATTGGCATTTGCCATTGAACACCAGAATTGGCAGGTCCGCCACTGGTGCCCTGTGCTTTTCACAGATGAGAGCAGGTTCACCCTGAGCACGTGACAGATGTGAAAAGGTCTGGAGAAGCCATGATGAACATTATGCTGCCTGTAACATCGTTCAGCATGACCGTTTTGGTGGTGTGTCATTGATGGTCTGCAGAGGCATATCCATGGAGGGATACACAGACCTCTACATGCTAGACAATGGCATCCTGACTGCCATTAGCTATCAGGATGGAATCCTTGGACCCATTGTCAGACCGTATGCTAGTGTAGTGGGTCCTGGGTTCCTCCTGGTGCATGACAATGCCCGGCCTCATGTGGCGAGAGTATGTAGGCAGTTCCTGGAGGATGAAGAAATTGATACCACTGAATGGCCCCCATGCTCGCCTGACCTAAATCCAATAGAACACCTTTGGGATATCATGTTTCGGTCCATCTGACGCCGCCAGGTTGCATCCCAGACTGTCCAGGAGCTCAGTGATGCCCTGGCCCAGATCTGGGAGGAAATACCACAGGACACCATGGGGTTTATTTACTAAAGCTGGAGAGTCCAAAATCAGACTCCCTTCTGCATAGAAACCAATCAGCTTCTAACCTCAGCTTGTTCAATGAAGCTTTGGCAATAAAACCTGGAAGCTGATTGGTTTCTATGCAGAAGTGAGTCTGATTTTAGACTCTCCAGCTTTAGTAAATAAACCCCCATGCATCATCTCATTAGGAGCATGCCCCAACACTGTCAGGCATGCATACAAGCACGTGGGGGGCCATACAAACTACTGAGTACCATTTTGAGTTGCTTCAATGAAATTTCAGCAACATGGACTAGCCTGCTGCATCATTTTTTCCCTGTGATTTTCGGGGTGTCTTTGAATTCAGTCCTCTGTAGGTTGATAATTTTCATTTCCATCAAACGATGGGGCATCATTACGTTCCTAACACATTACCCAGTCCATATCAGTATAGATATCCAGCATGATATTTTTCCCCATTAAGATCTGATGTGTTTTCAACGTGTGCCTTTAATTTTTCTGAGCAGTGTACATTAATTTGAATTGCTACATATATGTGCCAAGTGCTGCTTTCAATCAAATGATTGATAATTTACCTCATTTCTCTCTTGTTGTTTGATAACCTGCCTTGTTACTCGCTATTTCTAAGGGACAGTTCCTTAGACTAAGACGTAACTGTTCAAGTTTGGACAACTTTCATTCTAAAGCACATGTTCTGCGGGAGAGATTTGCAATGAAAGATTATTCTGTGCAGCCCCTGGAGAAGAACATTCACAAGGTTTCCACTCTTGATAGGGAGAAGTTATTAGCCCCCAAAACCAAGGACTGTACTGATAACAGTTTTAAGTGGGCTTTTACCAGCACGTTCTCAGAGCAGTATGAGACAATAAAAAACTGTTAGGGAAACATTGGAATGTCCTTAAGAGTGATAAGGTTTTGGGTCCCAAACTACTGGAGGCTTCCAAGTTTTTTTTTTAAAAAGGCTAAGACTTTGAGGAACAATATCACCCCCAATCTGATTGAACCACCTCAGCGGATCAGATTGTTTGGTGGTCTTAAAGGCTTTTTCCCTTGCAGGAATTTCCCTGTATGTACGTATTGTATAGGCAGAATACTAGTAGGACCAAGCCATTTAAATCGGAAATCACATTTATGATATTAAGGAATTTATTATGTGCTCAACATATAATGTAGACTACCTCCTGCAGTGCCCTTGCTGACTGCAATATATTGGCAGAACCAAAAGGGCACTGCAGGTGAGGGTTGAAGAGCACTTATCCAACATCATGAAGGGATTTTGTGTACATAACCAGCAAGGAATTTTGCCTCATATCAATCTAAAGATCCTTGATAGGTTATAATCGCATTGGAGGGGAAGCAATAACGTGAGGGAGATCTCACATCAAGAAACTCGCTGCATCTACCAAATTGAAAGTTTTAGTCTAATAGGACTGAACGTAGACCTTGACCTTGATAATTTCTTTTATCTCAAATAGTTAATAAGGTACGGGACCCATACTGTTTTGATTTTATTTGCAGTATTTTATTATTTTCTGGTTTTAATATATATGATTATTTAAAAAAAATGGAGGGTATTATTCCCACTTATGGGTAGTAATAAAATTTGGTCTGGGCCTTATGAGGTGGGAATTCTTTGCTTTTGGATTTTATGAAATGTAATATGGTGTATTAATATGCAGTATATTGACAATTTGGATTATGGACAGTATGTTATTATACTAATAGATGGTACTTTTTTTTAATTGTTTATATTTTTTTTTTATTTTGGGAATGTATGATAATATTCTTAATATATATTTCTTATAATTTCTAGTATTAGTATATTTAATATTTTTTGTTATTCTATTTATCTGGAGATTTCTATCCTGGGTATCTACTGGGGGTAGTACATTTGGATTGATTACTGCGTACTGATTTTTGGCTGTGTGTTTCGAGTATTTGCTCAGTAGTGAATGACTGCGGATTACATACATGCAGCGGTAATGGTTACAAGGGAATGCATCGCCCTCTGGTGGTTGGAAATGTGCAGCTTATATGAGATGGTGTGAGATGCTTTCACCATTACTCTGGCAACCCTCGGATGATGTTCTATGGAACGAAAAGCGGTCAGGGTCAAACAGTGATGTCATCATGCCAGCCCACATGAGCGGCATTTGTTTTGTGTTAATGCCTGACTGTTCCTTTCTTTTGATAATATGTAAGCTATTTTTAATAAACATTTTTTAAAAATTATTACACTATTGAGTTCCTTCTCCCTCCTCTTAAATGAGAGTCCGGATTTTAGTATATGCAGTGTCCAGCTGTGGGAATGCCACCCATGCTTCTGTGAGGGATCTCAAGCCATCTATCCTCCTGAAAGAAATTTAAGGGGATACTAGACCTGTGTTTGAGGTCTTTGACTATGGTAAGCAATTTTGTGCAGTGAATGCTGGAGCACGAAAGGTCGGTGAAGGTGTCTTATCATTCTAAATTTCACAAGTGAATGCACTTTTAAAAAGATTATTTTGGGACATTTATTGTGGACTTGCTTTTCACATTTGATTTCATGATTTGGGTACATGACAGCACAACACTTTATATATAAATAATATTCTTGGAATCATAGTATTCTGATATCAGCAAGTGCCGCTGTTCTTTTTAATTTGTTATTAATTTGTCACTGCTTTTTATTTTGGCACTTAGTGCAGTTTTTATTTTTCCTGCATTGTTTTGTTCACAGACATTACATCTATAAAGACTAGAATGTCATATTTAAATCATACCTGTTTGAAGAGACTGCACATGATACGTTGAGTTGTTTAAAACAAGGTGGAAATCATTCTTTAATAAGACATCCATCAACGTCGAAGCAGAGAACTTTGTACCATCTGAGGATAAAAAAGATTTACATCAAAAACAAAAATTTCAGCATGTTGGCAGAGATACTGCTCCCCAAATCACACGGGGAAATACCTACACAACCATATAATTTATCATTTCTGCAGGATATTATGCTATATGGTCACAAGTCATTCGTGCAACAAGCAGACTTGGGAAAAAAAGTATGCTAAGAACTGTGCACCAACTCTGACATAGATGGGGCTTATATATCCTTATTGTGAACAGATGCACCGCTCAAAAATCACCATAGTGTGGATGTATATGTGAAGTGAATAGGAAAAAAACTGTATAAAAAGAGTCCTGCAAAAGATTAAGAAACAAATGCTGAAGAGCAGCAGGGGTTTACATGTCATTTAAATAAGAACACCCTTTTTAATTTAGACCCAAATAAAAACAGAGATGGCTTGCAATAGATACTGACCTCCTCAAAAGTACACATACATACTGGATGGGTGATTACACTAAGAGTAAACCTAACTTAAAGCAGTTCTTCAGTCCCCTGTGTGAAAATTAAAAGTCAGAAAATACAAAAACTGTAGCTTCAGGCTTTTAAAAAACAACCGCTCACCTATCCAGGGATCCAGCACTATGCTCACCCGAGCAGGTTTCTTCACTGCTATTCAGTCCCCGGCATCTTAACTGTCGGCAGCAAATTGTAACAGTTTGCGCCTTCAAAGCTGGCTGCCCACTGCACATGCACAAGCTGCACTGTGCCTTGTGAATAGTCCCACAGTCTCTAGAGACCTGTGACATGTTCCAAGAGACTGTGAGGAGAAGAAGGGAGAGACAAACGCCCGCTCTGATCGCCTAGGTGGTCGGAGCAGAAGTGTTTTTCTAGGGTAAACTGCCTGTGCTGCAAGCACAGTGCAGAATACACTTCCAGGATCTTTAAGATGCTGAGAATGAAGTAGATTGCCTGGATGATATACCTCCAGTACACATGTGTAGGGGATACAGCATCAGTGGCTGCCCACTTGCCAAAGAAAGAAGGAGTCAGACCAGGAGAAGACTAGAAAAAGAGAAGCAGCAAATGGAGTGATGCAGACCTTCCACTGCTTGAGTATGCCAAACTAGGGTATGAATCTGCCATACCATCCACGTACGCTGTCCTGTCTTTAATTCCACTTTAGGGATTAGCATATGAGAATAAGTAAGGCCATCTTTCACCTGAATGGGATCCCGTTTTCTTTCTACTGCATGGCTAACTCAGGCAGCTGCATTCAAAAGTGGAATCAGTTTTAAATGTTGTGACCTCCTAGACCAGGGGTGGGCAAACTTTTTGACTTGAGGGCCGCAATGGGTTCATATATTGGACCCGGGGGCCGGACCAAGAGTAGATGAATGATGTGTATGTGTCATCCATAGTAAGTATAGTAATATTCCCCCATAGTAAGCACAGTAATTCATCCCCCATATAGTAATTCATCCCCCATATAGTAATTCATCCCCCATAGTAATTCATCCCCCATAGTAATTCATTCCCCATATAGTAATTCATCCCCCATAGTAATTCATCCCCCATAGTAATTCATCCCCCATATAGTAATCCATCCCCCATATAGTAATTCATCCCCCATAGTAATTCATCCCACACAGTAATTCATCCCCCACACAGTAATTCATCCCCCACACAGTAATTCATCCCCCACACAGTAATTCATCCCCCACACAGTAATTCATCCCCCACACAGTAATCCATCCCCCCCCACACAGTAATCCATCCCCCACACAGTAATCCATCCCCCACATAGTAATCCATCCCCCACATAGTAATCCATCCCCCACATAGTAATTCATCCCCCATAGTAATTCATCCCCCATATAGTAATTCATCCCCCATATAGTAATTCATCCCCCATATAGTAATTTATCCCCCATATAGTAATTCATCCCCCATATAGTAATTCATGCCCCACATAGTAATTCATCCCCCACATAGTAATTCATCCCCCACATAGTAATTCATCCCCCACATAGTAATTCATCCCCCACATAGCAATTCATCCCCCATAGTAATTAATCCCCCATATAGTAATTCATCCCCCATATAGTAATTCATCCCCCCCATATAGTAATTCATCCCCCATATAGTAATTCATTAATTTATGCCCCATATAGTAATTCATTCCCCCCATATAGTAATTCATAGTAATTCCCCCCCATAGTAATTCATCCCCCCCCCCATAGTAATTCATCCCCATATAGTAATTCATCCCCCATATAGTAATTCCCCATATAGTAATTCATCCCCCATATAGTAATTCATCCCCCCCTATATAATTCATCCCCCCCATAGTAATTCATCCCCCAATATATAGTAATTCATCCCCCCCATATAGTAATTCATTCCCCATATTAATTCATCCCCCATATTAAGTCCCCAAGTCCCCCCTGTGTCAATTCACTTACCTTTACTCCACGCGTTCCTCTCGCCGTATTCCCGCGCCGTTCCGGTGTAGCATGAAAATCTGTCTCCTATGAGGATCTGTCCCCCTCGACGTATCTGCGCATGTGCCAGTTTCAGGCATTAGCAGCCGATCGGCGATCTCCGGCACATGCGCAGATACGTCGAGGGGGACAGATCCTCATTGGTGACAGATTTTCATGCTACACCGGTCTTCAGGGCGGACTGTGAGAGGAGCCTAGCGGGAGCCTAGCTCCACGGGCCGGATTAAAAGGTCCGCCGGGCCGTATACGGCCCACGGGCCATAGTTTGCCCATTGCTGTCCTAGACACTCAAGTGGAAACATTGTAATTACTTATGTTCACCTCTGGATGCAGAGAGAAATAGAAGATGGACATCATATTAAAACAAAAATGTAATTTTTATTATTTATTTCATTCTCTTATACCTGTGGATATGGCAGCCAGACTCTCAATTCCTTGGTCCTCATTCTGGATGTCCTTTAAGAACTTTCCTACTGTAGTCGTGAAGGGTTTAATGGTGAACTGGCAACGTTCATTACGAGATGGCAGGGACAGTGTTATAACAGGGAGTCCATGCTTATACTGGATAGCCACATCTGTAACACAACACAAAAAAAAAAAAAAAAAATCTATTTTAGGGTTTCTCAACTCCAATTTTTAAGACCCCTAACAGCACACAATATTCAGTTCATTTTACAGACTCGTGAATGATATAAACCCGTTTTTATCGTGAACTGCTAGACAGAACAATTCAGTTGGTTGAAGGCTGGCTGGTAAGTTGAGTTGGAAATTTTTATTTGTTGTTGTTTGACAAGCTTTGCCCTTACATGTGCTCCTTGCTGTAAAGGACAGTTATAGGTTGGGGAAGTTTGCCGTTTGTTTGTACCATTAAATTGGTGAGGGGGTGCACTCGACACCTTTGCTGCCATTGTGCTATATGCTGAGTGTCCAGTGCGCCCCTGTGCCTTTAAGGAGGGATGGGCTCCCTCCAGGCATGCCTGCCCTCAATCTATCCATTATTATACATGTGATCCTACTATGGAGGCTCTCAAAATGAATAAAGTTAGGACTGCAGATAATACTGGGGTGCCGCAAAGTGGCTCTGCAGAGTACGCATTTGCAAATGTGTGAAACCTAAAACCCTGTTTTTAACGTGAACTGTTAAATAGGACAATCTGGTTTGTTGTAGGCTGGCTGGTAAGTTAAGCTGGGGTAGTTTGTTATGACTGAAGTGGCATGATTCTACAACTCTACCTCATGTTCTTTATCAGTGGTCTCCAAACTGCGGCCCTTTGCTTCCTTTTATCCACTATTCCTCCCACTGACCACCAACAATGGGGCACTATCCCTCCCACCGACATCAGCAATGGGGTACTATCCCTCCCACTGACACCAAGGATGAGGCACTATTCCTCCTACTGACACCAAAGATGGGACACTACTCCTCCCTCTGATACCAAGGATGGGACACTGTTTACTCCCACTGACACCAAGACATTTTCTACTCCCATTGGCCACACTGCGGTCTTCCTAAAGTTTGGAGGACAGTAAACTGGCCCTTTGTTTAAAAAGTTTGGAGACCCCTGCTGTTTATGGTTGTGCACAAGATTGTGGTGTGTGTTAATCTTACAACCTTTTCCTTACAATCGCCAAGAAACTGTGTTGTAATACTGCCTGAAAAATTTTAAAGGAGAACTAAGTCCACCGATTTAAGTTTCCCAAAAACAAATATTCAAGGCATGCCTTCAGTGATAACTGTTACAGCTGCTAGCGTTCCTATTTTAGCTCCCAACCGAACTGTCAAGCCATCACATGGCTGGTGTCATAGCTGATCACATGATAGCTGATCACATGTGCATAGCAGTTGCAGATCAAATAAAGCCTAAGATGGTAGCTTCCTTGACTGTAAAGATCAGAAGAGTTTACTTTAAAAGCAAAACAGGAAATTGGGCTGCAAGAAAAGCTCTGTGTCCAGCTTTACACAGGTTACTAATGATTCTTCAGTGCACACAATTCTATATATGTAGCTTACACATGCCATAAAATTCCCCAAAAATATTCTTATGCGAGTACCATAAAAGCACTACATGTTCCTCTATATTGAACTGTTATGTTTGCATAATGAGCCAGTTACTGACAGAATCCTCTCTATGAATCACTAGAAACCATTCTCAAATTCTATACCTGTTCTATAGGCTAATACGCTACTGAAATTTGCCAGAAATAAAAATAAATTAGATTTAAGCATCCTTTTCTCTCACATTGGTTTTCCTTATATATTTATTACTATATTCTTATCTTGTTGATTATCAATAATTCATTGTTTAAGGTTTTTATTTATTGCAATCGAAATTTAGCATAAGGTTTTTATAACATCAGTCAAATTATATTCTCCTTAGGGCTTTGTCACATGGGCATACTTAAGCATACATCTGTGCGAGGGCCGTGTTTGCCTGCACAGGGATGCAAAGGTATACCATGCATCCCTTTGCAGGCAGTCCCATTCATGTCAATTGGGATGCAACAGCTGCGTGGACATAGCCGCTGCCCCCCATATGACAGCCATGTGTGCGGTTGTACATTTACAAACACAGACAATATGCATTTCATCCAACATCTAAATTGTTGCACTTGTTATTTTGAAAATCCAGGGTAACTGAAAAAAAAAACACTTGTGGGTTTAACATTAACATTATTCTCCATAGTCTATAGTAATTCTCTAAGTATTTACCTGTTCTATTTACCATTATCACCAAAAATGAAAGTGAAAACAAATCCCAAATTTTGGGTTGTCACCAGAACAGGAATAATGGGAGGAATGGGAGGCGTTTGTTTTGCTTCCCTTATTTAGTTATTATTTAAATATATATTGAGTGCGGTGAAATCACTTTTTTGGTGTCAGCTTGCAACTGTTTAACACTGTCACAACAGTTTGCGCTAATTGATTCTGTATTGATTTCCTTATATTGCTGTGCACTAGACCTGAAGTGACCACCAGTATTTACTGAACAGACACACACATATATTTTTGTATATGAATATGGATACAGTTTCTTGAGTACCTTAAAGCGAAACTAAACCCTCCTATTGTTTTCAGCCAAGGAAGTTGCCATCTTAGCCTCTGCTTGATCTTCAACTGCCAAGGTGCGACACATTTGATCAGTTATGACGAGGGCTGGTGCTACTACTGGGCAAACTAGGTGGCTGCCTAACAGCAGGGACAAGGGGGGGAGAGCAGCCTGGAGCAGTGAAGCCTGCAAAGGAGAAATGATGAGAGAGGTGGGAGGTGTGGGCTGTGCTCTCCTCTCCTGTCAGTGGAGCGATACTCCATAAATCAAACACAGGATCGCTCTTACATCAGCATGTCCAGTTTTTTATGCATTCCCTGGCTTCCTGCTGTCGAGAGATCAGCAGTCATTGGAGGAGTTAGGGGAGCAGGGTAGTCAAACTGTGTACAGATCCAAAAGCATTCTTGTGTCATCTTCTGTATGAAAGATCGCTCCATTGGCAGGACTGAGAGCACAACCCACACCTTCACCTGGTTTCCTGCCTGTACGTTTGGGGAGGGCGGAGCTTACAGGCCAGGGGAACTGTACACAATGAAAGGGTGGGGGGGGGGGGGGTAACAATAATTTCTGCTGTGATGAGAGGTTTGTGCAGGAGGGGAGATGGGGGCTATTTGTGCTGGGAAGGGTAACGGGAATGATGAGGGGGGGAATTTGTGCTAGGACAGGGGTAGGCAACCTGAGAGCCACAGGACTACAAGTTCCATCATGCCTCTGCAATCATAGCTGTAACTGTCAGTTTTGTAATTTTTGCAATGCCTCATGGGAAATGTAGTTCCAGAACAGCTAGAGAGCCACAGGTTGCCTATCCCTGTGCTAGGAGAAAAAATGGGGGTAAATGTGCTAGGAGTAGAAGAGAGGCTTTAGGGTATTTGTGCCAAAATAGATGGGGGGATTTTATGCTCGGAATGATAATTTGGAGGGGTTTTAGCTAGAGGAGGGATTTAGGGGAATTTGACCTAGGTGGGGGGGACTGAAGGAAGAAAATTGGTGCTGGGAGGGGGGATTTGTGCTAGGAGGGGGGATTTGTGTTAGGATAGCAGATTGGGGCGGGATTTGTGTTAGGAGGGGGGGGGGATTTGTGCTAGGAGAGGGGAGTAGTGCTAGGAAGGGTAATTTGGAGGGGGTTGTGCTAGAAGGGATTTAGGGGGATTTGTGCCAGGAGGTAAAATTGAGGGGATATATGCTAGGAGGGGGGATTTGGGGGGAGAGGATTTATGTTTGGGTGGAAAATTTGAGGGGGATAGAGGATGTGTGCTAGGAGGGGTGAAGTAGAGAACTACACGTGAAGTTTTATTTTTTTTAAAGATGGCGGGTGCAAGTTGCTGGTCTTGCCTAGGGTGCAAAATAGTCTAGCACCGGCCCTGGTTTTGACACCAGCCATTTGATGGTTTGACAGTTTGGTTGAGAGCACAAGCCAATGACAGTTACATTGCCAGCACGTGCAAGGAATGTATTTGTTTCTTCAGACTGGTAAATTGATGCTTTAAGCAAGAGAAGGATTCACTGCAAGGGTGCTTTAACCACCTCCCATCCGGACATTGTATATAAGCGGCCGGACGGTGGCAGTGCAGGGTCGGGTGGCCGTTTATAAACGGCCTCCCCGCACCTTCCCTGGGAGCAGGCAGCACCGCGATCTGGTGCCCGCTGTGTCCTCCGGACACAGTGGAACACCGATCGTCAGACGGGACCTCTGTACGAGGTCTCGATCATGTGATCACTGATTGGCCAATCAGTGTTCACATGCATAGTAGTATGCAAGATGTCACTTGTGACATCATTGCTTACTACGAGTGAAATCTGTGAATGATCACAGAGGTCACATGGTACAAGGCTATTCACAACAGCCTTGTACCATGTGACAAGCTGTGACCAATCACAGCTCACTCAGTAGTTCTCAATTGCTGCAAGAATGCAGCTAGAGAGAAGGCAAAATGATTGCTTTTACATCCTTTATGGGTATAAAAGCAATCAGTGTAAAAAAAAAAAATCTTCATCACCCACGGCAAGTAGTACAGTGTCACCATGGTGACACTGTGCTGCTAGGGTGACAGTATGTAAAAAAATAAATAAAAAAATATATAAAAAATAAAATGTAAAAAAAAAATGTTTCAAAATTATAATTTTTGGTTATAAACAAATTTGGGTGATTTTTTTCTTACTAAAAATATAACGGAATACATTTTGGCCAAGATTTATGATGAAATACTATTTATTTGCAAAATTTTATAAGAAAAACACTTTTTAAAATTTTCTGACTTTTTAATTTACATAGAAAAAAAAATAAAAATCCCAGTGGTGAATAAATACCACCAAAATAAAGCTTTATCTGTCTCAAAAAAATGCTAAAAATTCATATGGGTACAGTGTTGCATGACCGCGCAATTGTTATTCAAAGTGTGATAGCACTGAAAGCTGAAAATTGCCTGAACAGGAAGGGGGTAAAAGTGTCCGGACTGGAAGTGGTTAAAGACTAAGTTCACTTTCGGAACATGTTACATGTGCCACCTGTATTTAGGGTGGAACATGTAACATGTTCCAGCTCCTGCCTTCTCTCCCCCCGATCCCCCCCATCCTTGTGACAGCGGGAGGGGGATCTTCTCCCCAAACCCACTGTCACTATTTGAAAAGAGTGCGGCTGTGCAGGGCTCTGCCCACATGGCCATGTTATTCATTCACAGACTCTGTGAATGAACAGAAATACAACTATCAATGGCTGCCACCTGGCATTGCACCTGCAATCTGCTGATTGTGGGTGCAATGCTTTTTAGACTCCATTGTAAAAACAAAAATCAAAATAATAATAAAATCATAGTTGTTTTACCTGCAAAAAGATGTGCATACATTTTTTTTTAAAGGTGAACTTATTCTTTAAAGAGACTGTCATTTTAAAGAAAGGAAGTAAATTGCTGTACCTAGAGGTATACAAGAAAAAGGTATCAACAGGAAAGTTTCTTGATACCCATAGCATCTAGTCAGAATCTCAGTTAAAACGTCAGCTCTACACTGCAGAATTGGCAGTTGGAAGCTGATTGGTCACTTCAAGCAACAAGAAATGATTTCCTTAGTATGCTTGCAGTGTGTAAGTCCCTTTAGCTTTTTCACAATCATACATATTCACTTACCACTAGAGGGTACTGATGTGCTGTAGAAACCCACAGTGCTTAGATGAAGAGTTCGTCTTACATTTCTAACCTAAAAGAAAAGGAAAGAGAGAATACTGAGAATTCATTTATTCCAAGAAATTGTATGCGTTTTGCTTGATCCCACAAAGTCAACCTAACATTTCTCCTAAACATTCCTTAAAGCTGTTGGTGCCTTGCTACTTTGTGGTTCCAGAAAAATACATAAAGTCAATACAGCTGATTCAGAGTTCTGAGCTAGTATGAAGGAATTACAGTAAAATCCTACCAATATGTATTCAATAATGATACGAATCATACACTCACTGGCCACTTTATTAGGTACACCTTGCTGGTGCCAAGAAAATATCCCCCACACCATTACACCACAAGCCTGAAACATTGATACAAGGGAGGATGGATCCATGGTTTCATGTTGTTTACGCCAAATTCTGACCCTACCATCTGAATGTCGCAGCAACCAGTTTACCTATTCTCCTCTGACTTCTGACATCAACAAGGCATTTTCGTCCACACAACTGCCGCTCACTGGATATCTTATTTTGAACCTTTTTCTGTAAACCCTAGAGATGGTTGTGCGTGAAAATCCCAGTAGATCGGCAGTTTTTGAAATACTCAGACCAGCCTGTCTGGCAGCCAACAACCATGCCACATTCAAAGTCACTTAAATCCCCTCTCTTCCCCATTCTGATGCTCATTTTGAACTTCAGCAAGTTTTCTTCACTACGTCTACATGCCTAAATGCACTGAGTTGCTGCCATGCAATTGGCTGATTAGCAATTTGTGCTACCAAGCAATTGAACAGGTGTACCTAATAAAGTGGTCAGTGAGCGTACGTTATAATTTTACTCAGACCACTGCTCCTGCCACCTACCCCTTCAGGATAAAGTAATAGTATTAACGTTTTCATATTAATGCTGTAATAGCTATTGGATTAAAGGCACCCCATGGCCTGTATATCCAGTACAGTAGAACGTATTTGTTTACATCTGCCCAATGCTGAAGTAGCACTTTTAATATAAAATTACTAGCAATTAATTTAGTTTAAAATGGTTCACACCTTTAGATGATAATGATAGCCACATTATTAAAGATTAAAAGTTTTATATGAATGTGTTTCTAGTGTATGATAAAGGAGAGTCCCTGCCACTATTTAAATGGGTTTAAAATGGACATAGGACTCCCAAAGAGTCAGTTTGAGAAGTGCCAGCAAATACTGTATGTTGTAAATGGAAAAAACTATGTCTTAAGTTTTCTCTGGATTTGGTAAGTCCAGATTTGGGCTTGAAGTTAGAAGGTTTCAGAGAATATTGGGTGGAATGGAGTCCTGTGTCGGGGCTTTGCTAATTGCCTACAGCCTACTTGAGAGCACAAGTGGTCAGGATCATTTTAAGCCATTTGGAGACAGACCCCTGTCAGGGGTCCCCTGACAACCCCTGGTTGTTTCTGTCAGAGACTGCATTACTGGTGAGGGGAACGCCTTGTCTGAAGGCCTGGGAAGGTCAGGGTGGCTGTATGGGCCTGGAGACCAAGAGAAGTTCTGGGAGGCTGGGAAAGCCAAGGCGGCTAGTGAGTCCAGGGAGGCTGGAGGAAGTGCTAAAGTCTCAGAGAGCGTGAGCAAACACAGGGAGGCTGGAGAACAACATTTTGGAGGCCGGGAGTGGGCCCATGCAGCTAGGTACTGCAACCAAGGCTAAGTGAGCCTAAGAGCCACGTGGCTTGGTATTTTACATCTGTTTGCCAAAGAATGACCCCTGCTTGGGAAACATGCTGTTATAAGAACTTTCATTCTGTTTCTTTTTAACAAAAACAGGCTGCCACACCCTTAAACCAAAATGCCGTCTGTCATTGACTCACAGTACCTACCACTAAGCTAAACACCCCCGTATCACAGCATTAGATAGAATGATTGTAAAAAAATTGAGTACAGTTAGCCATTTAAAATAACCATCTTGAATCATACACCTACCCGTCTCCTCCGTTCAATATTGTGCAGCTTGCTGAGGTGCAAAGCCACCACTACACAAGTCTCCTGACTGAGCTTTTTTAGTCTTTATTCATTCCAAAAGAGGAGCTGTCCACCTCTGGGACGTATAGTAAACAGTCTGTTTATAGCAGCCTTTCTGAACCTTTTCAATGCAGAGGAACCTTTGACATAACTTTCCGGTCTGAGGGAACCCCTGCTAATATGACTATCTACAATTCATGATACATTAGTGTGATAGTCTTTGGGAAGAATGCTCCCTACACTTATGGTTAGTGGGAAGAATTACCCCCTTACAGATTGCTAAAAAGATCAATGGTGTAAGTGGGAACCTGAGAGACAAAAATTGCTCACTGCTCAAAGCACCCCTGGCAACCTCTGGAAGAACCCTGGTTGAGAAACCCTGCTTTACAGAAATAGACACACACAGCTTGGCTCGGAAACAAACCCACAGGGTGCGCAAAGAAGAGCAGGAGTCAAAATTGCCGGCGGGGGGGGGGCCACAGCAGAGGAGGTTCAGGCCGCTCTGTGCAATAACATGTTTATCATTTGTCCATAAAAAAATAGCCTTTACAAATGCTTATGGAAATGAAAGTATAGGACTTGGAGGTGTTGATGGAGGTCAATAGAGGATAACTGTACAGTACAGTTATATTGCTAAGGGTTTAAAAAACAACTCAAAATATATAATATAAAACATAAAAAAAACGAAAAATATTAATAGTGCCTGTAATAATCTATACTTGTTATCCAAAACTAGAAGTTATTTGAATAATTCATAAAAAAACAGTTCTCTGTAGTGCTGCCCCTGCTAGTAACAATATTTTCTGTACATTTATTAAGGTCTGGTTGTATTTACCAAAATGGTATACATGGGCACAAGACCTAGGACAGTAGGTTTGCAGCTCCAAGCCTCAACAATTACAAACTGTGATTTATTTGTATTTTGTTTCTATTTTCTGCTACCTTTGTATTGTCCTAGCAAAAAACAATACAAAGGCCCATGACGTGGAGCATATGCAGGGGATGTTGAAAGGAGTCAGAAGGCTCGCTGTAGTTCAAGCAAATTCCTGTTGGGGATCTTCCAGTCTCCATAGAGGAAGACATGAAAAAAACAGTGCCCCAGGAAAGTCTTTGCAGCCTTAGGGGCTCGAAAGAACACAAGATTAGGAATAGCACTGGTAGCAGTGACAGGCTGATTCTCTAGTTTCAGAGTGGTGCACACCACATTGAGAGCCAAAACAGTCTCTTTCTAACTTGGGAGTAACAGCAGAGAACTGTGACTCCTCCAAAGCAAGCTCACCAGGTAAAGACTGAAATGACTCAAAACTAGTCCCAGCAGCTCATGGCTCAGAGGCAGCTAAAGCCTAGTACACACTTCAGAATATTAGATGAATTATCTTTTTTTTTTCTTTTGCATGCTAATCTCATATTGAAAATGAATAGGTTACTAAAGTTAAGAAAAAATTCTCAAAGCAGATTACAAACTTTAGAAGTGAAGTATTGTAATGTATGGTTTCATTTCCAACCATGTGTGGTCTTGGTCACTCAATTTATTTTGTACAAATACTATATTCATTACATGAAAATCATTAGTTCTGTTATCTTTGGAGAAAAATTTTTTGTGCTTGTCCCTTTGGATATTTTCGCATGAACTGTCGTGATCAGCTCTTGAAAGCTGTGCATTACTGATCGGACGATCGCTCTTTTTTTTTTTTTTTTTTTGGTCCGATATTCTCATCGTGTGTTCTAGGCATAAGGCTGCTGGTAGATCAGATATATAATCTGCAGGTGAAGGCACATGTTGTGGTGATTTGCACCTGATGAAGCTAAGGAAGAATGGACTCTAGGAGCAGAGGACAACAGGAATCCAGGCTGCAGAAATTGTCACCATCAGCAGGTTTGCTGCAAGCATCTCCATAGCAGTTAGTAGAGGGTGAGATGGGGAACCTGGTACAGTGGTAAATTTGTAACATACCCATAATCATACATGTTGTGGCTGTTTGGCAGCAAGGCAATGAAAGGATCACAGTATGAGGTAAGACCTTGGGGAGTCACAAAACCCAGACAGCTGGTAGCAGGTGAGGGTTGGATGGTCAGAGGTGACCAAAGTCAATCTAGTTGGGCAGCAGGAATTAATTGAAGATTGAAGTTCTACATGGCTCTTTGCAAAGTAGAAGCAGCTGTGGAGAGATGCTTCCTGGACATTGAATATGGGGAAAAAGCACATGAAGTGTACACATGTGATACTCCACCCAGTGGATATCAATGCTTAGGACCATAGCATTAATTTCTTCTGCTGTGGAACCTGGCAGGAAATGTGAGATTTTAAATGCGCCCAGTGATCCATGTACTTGAGGTAGCTCCTGGTGCTCGACCCAACTGGCCCACTCACTGAGTATTCAGAGACAGTGCAAGCGCTAAAGCATTGCCAACGACTCTGGACCAACCTGCAATGCACTCCACAGCTAACTTTTCTCAAGAATGGATCCTGGAAAGCACCGTTGGAAGAACACAGTGTCTGAAAGTCACTTCTGGGTTATCCCCGTAGCGCCAGTCTAGCAAAGTCCAAACAGCCAGGCTGAGTAGCTTTAGCAGCAGTGAAAAGTATTGACTGAAGAAAATGATCTTGAAAAGTGAGAAAAAATGGTGCTAGCAAAATAGCTTGGTCTTTTACTCAGAGTTGAAGAAAAGACATTCATCCTTCTAGGACACTGGCAAAAAAAAAAAAAAACAATAAGGCATGCTTGTAGTGGGAGGAGTTATTCTGGGTTGATCTACAGTTTCTTTTTTGGTCAGGGTCCAATCAGGGTCATGGTCCAATCCTCCTGTAGGCAACTGTATGATCTGAAGGTGAAATACTTCCTGTGTCTCTCAGAAGGCAAGGAGGAGATGCTTTTCTTCACTCATGCAGGTGTATTGCCATTCTCCTACAATAACCTACTTATATCTGCACTTTAATTTTAAACCTAATACACTTGACACTTCACACAGAAGTAATAAGTATCATTTTCAAAACCAAACGTATTATATTTTGACAGTAAAAGTACCTTTGCAGTAGTATTTATCAGA